ATCGTTCCAAAGAAAAACGATGCATCTGGAAAGCAAAAATTCCGGTTAGTCATAGATTACCGCAATCTCAATGAACTAACTATTAATGATAAATACCCTATCCCGATCATGGATGAAATATTAGACAAACTTGGAAAATGTCAATATTTCACAACCATTGATCTAGCCAAAGGCTTTCACCAAATCCAAATGGATCCTGGTTCAATACCCAAGACCGCATTTTCGACTAAACATGGCCATTACGAGTACACTCGCATGCCATTTGGTCTTAAGAATGCACCTGCAACGTTCCAACGTTGTATGAACAATCTCTTAGAAGATTTAATTTTTAAGGATTGTCTGGTCTACTTAGACGACATTATTATTTTTTCCACTTCATTGGAGGAACACATTTTGTCGCTACAAAAGGTATTTAAGAAGCTTAGAGAAGCTAACTTAAAACTACAGTTGGATAAATGCGAGTTTATGAGAAAAGAAACTGAATTTCTCGGTCACATCATCACAACTGAGGGTATAAAACCAAATCCCAACAAGATACAAGCAATTGTCAAATTCCCAATTCCAAAAACCCCAAAAGAAATTAAATCATTTCTAGGATTATGTGGTTTCTATAGGAAATTTATACCAAATTTCGCTAATATAGTAAAACCATTAACACTTAAATTAAAAAAGGGAGCAAAAATCAATATAAAAGACAGAGACTACGAACTAGCGTTTGAAAAGCTAAAAGTACTCATAACATCCGACCCAATTTTAATATACCCTAACTTCGAAAAACCATTTTCATTAACTACAGACGCGAGTAATATGGCAATAGGGGCCGTCCTTTCGCAAGAGCATAAGCCTATATGCTATGCAAGTAGAACTCTCAACGAGCATGAGTTAAATTATTCAACGATTGAAAAAGAATTATTAGCAATCGTTTGGGCCACTAAATACTTTAGGTCCTATCTCTTTGGTCGACAATTTCAAATCCTTAGTGATCACAGACCACTCGTCTGGTTAAATAATATGAAAGAACCTAACATGAAATTACAAAGGTGGAAGATCAAGCTAAATGAGTTTGATTTCCAAATTAAATACGTCCCAGGAAAAGAAAATTATGTGGCAGATGCTCTGTCCAGAATTCAATTAAACGAAAACTTCTTAGGCGAAGATACAATTAGCACAAGAGCAACAATACATAGTGCTCAAGAAGACAACAGTAACCATTTACAAATCACAGAAAGACCACTTAATTATTATAATCGACAAATAGAATTTGAAAAAGGAACCGAGAACGAAACAAAAGTTACGAATTACTTTCACAAAACCAACATAAAAATTACGTACAAAGACATGACTAATACGCATGCCAAAGAATTAATAACAGAATACTTATGCACAAAGAAAAGTGTGCTATACTTCCACAACGAAGCAGATTTTCCAATTTTTCAAGAAGCCTACTTAGAAATAATAAGTCCAAATAATTCAACAAAGGCAATGAAAACTAGTACAAAATTAATAGACCTTCAAACATACGCAGAATTCAAAGAATTAATATTAAAAAAGCACAAAGAATTATTACATCCAGGAATTGAAAAAACTATTAATTGGTTCAAAGCAACCCACTATTTCCCAGATTATCAAAATTTAATTCAAAATCTAATAAATGAATGTGAGATTTGCAACATCGCAAAAACAGAACACAGAGATACAAAATTAACTTTCGAAATAACTCCAGAAATCGCTAATATCCGAGAAAAATATGTAATGGATTTTTACATAGCAGGAGATAAACAATTTTTATCTTGCATTGATATCTATTCAAAATTTGCATCATTATTAGATATAAAAAGTAAAGACTGGCTAGAAACCAAACGAGCTATATTACAAGTGTTCAACCAAATGGGTAAACCCATCGAAATAAAGGCAGACAAAGACTCAGCTTTTATGTGCACAGCTTTACAATTATGGCTAAAATCAGAAGCAGTAAATATTAATATAACCACTAGTAAAAACGGTATATCCGACGTAGAACGATTTCATAAGACAGTTAACGAAAAACTAAGAATCATTAACAGCGACTCAGACGTCGAAAATAAACTTACAAAATTTGAAACTATACTCTACACGTACAATCATAAAACAAAGCACAAAACGACTAACAGAACACCAGCGGACATATTCATATATGCAGGTACACCAGAGTATGACACTCAAGCTAATAAAGAAAAACTAATAAATAACCTCAACAAAAACCGAAGAAACTTTTAACAATTTAATTGAACAAAGTAAAGAATTCAATAACCTTATACAAATCGAATACCTAGTAGAAAAATTAAACAGAGAAATAAACGGCTTAAAAATAGCCAAACGTAGCAAAAGAGGTTTAGTTAACATAGTAGGAACAGCATATAAATACTTATTTGGAACATTAAATCAAGAAGACAAAGCAGAAATTGAACAAAAAATAAGCAACTTAGCAGAAAACAGCGTTCAGGTTAACGAATTAAATTACATAATAGAAGCTATAAACAAAGGAATAGAAATCATGAACGAACTAGATCAAGAGAAACAAAAAGGAAAGAAATTAGATATCCTTATATTTAACTTACAACACTTTACAGAATATATAGAAGACATTGAGATGGGAATGCAGCTCACAAGATTAGGAATTTTTAACCCAAAATTACTAAAACATGACTATTTGTTGCATGTTAATTCTGAGAAATTGTTGAATACAAAAACTTCCACTTGGTTTAAATCAGATACAAACGAAATACTGATAATATCCCATATTCCTCGAGAAATAATAAAAAGCCCGGTATTCGAAATAATTCCATACCCGGATGAAAATAATAATATTTTGACAGAAATAGCTCATGAAAAATATTTTACCCAAGATAAAAAAGTTTATAGCAGAGAAACAAAAAAATTAATTAATAATGAATGTTTAACAGGAATTTTAAACCAAATAACATCAGAATGTAGTTATACTAAAATTTTGCAAAATTTTCAAATCAACTACATAGAACCAAATATAATTTTAACTTGGAATTTACCAAAAACTATATTAAACCATAATTGTATAAATAACGAAATAACAATAGAAGGAAACAATATAATAAAAATCTTTAATTGTTCATTGCAAATTAATGAAATTTCAATTTCAAACAATATGTTAGATTATACTCAAAGCATTTACGTAAGCAATGATGTTATAAAATTAGAACCACTTTCGTTTGTACAAACGAAACAAATTATAAATGCACATACAAAATTTAACAATGTATTCCAGATAATTACAATAACCATATTTGTAATCATATTAATAAGTTTAACACTGTATTTGACATATAAGTTCAAAAGCATACCTAAGAAATTAATTATAAAATATAAAAAACCCAAAGTAGAAGAAACACCTACAATAATAGGAGATATACCAATTGTAAAAGAAGAAAATGTTACACTATATCCAAACTTAAACACCTGAGGACAGGCACTTTTCTAATGGTTGGGGGAGTGACATATCCATAGTCGCACCCACCCTTTAACATAACTTAGCACATAAGCATAAGCACAATTATAAACATTTCTAATATTGTAAACAAAGAGCCTGGTGATAACATCGACATTGGTCAAGATCAAACTGTCCCCCTTTGGTAGACATAAACAATTCACCCTAAATATCACGCCACTGTCAATGTTCCCATCAGAGTACTATCCCACGCATAATTGCTGACGCAGCTCAAACTTCACTCAATTTTGACTCAAACTCTCTCAAAGCGAAGTTTGCTAAGCGACCGCAACAGTTAGATAAATCAGTTCATATTCGGGAAGCAAATCTGAATGTACTCAACAAAAGTAGCCGTTAAGTGAAAATAATAAATTGAAATATATTTTTTTATAGTAACCTAACGTGTAAAACTTAATTATATTAATTACTTAAAATTGCATACAGTAAGACATTTCTTAAACGTGTTAATGTTTTAATTTATACGATATGCTTAAGCAATGCATTGCTTTCTGAACAGGTTAGTGCATTCGCAAATAAATGTAAATGAAAATATCAAATATAACAAATTAACGCATGCGCCGAGCTACTCTAGGAGATACATATGAGTCGCCGAGTTGTTGACTTACTTTCGCTGTGCAAACGTTAAAGCAATAATTGTAGAAATCTGGAAGAGTGCATAAGTACTGCTAGCCTCCTTGTCGACGTTTCGAGGATGGCAAGTTGAAAAGCTTTGCATCGGGTTGTGAAAAGGAGCATTATTCTGTTTCCGAATTTGTTCTCTTCTGTTTGGATTTACGTATATTGCAAAAAGCTTTTGGCAACGCCGCAATGTTGTTCAGTTTAGACAGAAAGTACGTCGCGTTCGTGTGCTGCGCCGCAATTTTGGATAGAATATTGTTTGTATCTCGAAAAGGAATGTCATTAAGAGCTACCAAGTAGATTACATAGTGAAGGAGCATTAGTGTTTTTAACAAAATAATAAATAATGCAATGGAATAAAATAAAAGCTGGGTAAATTATATCGCATGTGGTTTGATATTATGTGGGTAGGTGCTGAAAGTATTCCCCAATACCTGTTATGTTGCTTTTCCTCATCAAAAGAAAATAAACAAAATATAATCTTTGTGTTTCTTACTTGTATCATCACATAATACACCCTTTAAAATTTACATTAGACAGTTATGCACTATGCTTCATAAATGCTTCTCCGTATTGCAATACAACGTTATTAAATACAGATTTTCTTCCTTTTTTTGTCGTAAAATGGCTTAAATTCTTAATGCGCTTGTTGACTTACAATTTTAATTACAAACTACAATGTGGAAATTCGTTTGAAGTTATTAGGTTTAGATGCAGTAAGAAATTAAAAACTAAATAAATCTGAACATATATATTTAAATCCTTAGAAAACCCCAATCCTGTTATTAGCTTACATATTTCCCAAGGGACAAGTTTTAGGACTTACTTATGGTTTATTTATTTTAATATCACTTAATATTTATAAACTGCAGGATACTACAGCCACACCCTAAACATATTTGCTTCGCAAGAAAAATATTTGTGCACGGCTCTCACACAGGCACTTACACAAAAACTTTCAAGAGGAAGACGTAGTGGACCGCAACGTGTATCGACTTAGGTAGGTGACAACAAGTTAAACAATAAATTTGAAAATAAGAAAGGATACAAAAATGTTAGCTACAAACAGAACAGAAACAGGTGACAGATTAAATTAAGTCAGTTAAAAATAACAAACTTAAATAATTCAGTGTGAACTTTTCACAACGAGCATAAGCCCTCAAAAGGAACTCTGCAATTATTTCCCATACGATTTTTTATTCAGTGGGGTTAAACATGTGACAATTTATTTTCTTGTTATAAATGTTATATATTATGACAAAAGCAACGAAGGTCACTTTAACTGTGTTTTATATTTTTTGCGTTTTATTTTTAGAACCTTGAGGAGATAAATTTCTAATTATATATGTATAAATTGTTATCCCTTTTATAGCCTTAATAAAAAAAGAAAATAAGGAAATAACTGCAGCGATGGCAACGGAAACTTTTTTTGACTTGACAAGCGACCGAGAAAAATCATCGAAATGCCCCATTAGGCCAAAATTACTTAAATTACCGGATGTTACCACACCACACCGTAGTCGCAAGAAGATTAAAATAAAGGTTGGTAATAGATAAATTTTTGAAGTGAGCGCTTCAAGACCACTTTCACTCTTCGTTAATTTTAATCTGCAGTCAAAAGATCGCACGGCGGTTGTCCGTGATCGCATCCATGACGATCCGGCCTACACAGAAGACATTAGCCATCTTGCCAACCCCCAGCGCCGTAGCAGCATATCGAGAAAATCTTCGAGAGATTATAAACATAGTTCCGATCATTCTACGCAGCCGGTGGCAAGTAGCAGCTCTTTAGGTAAACGTAGTCAATTGACAAAGGACTTTTTAAAGTATGCGATGAACGCACCCAGCAACAGCGGAGCAGTGAGCAAAAACTTTGATTCCAGTAGTTCGGATAACGAGCAAGCGAGGCTATTCAAGGATGGTAGCGCACCAAGGCGTGCTTTAAGCCTGGAGCAAAGTTTAGCAGTTAATGCGGCCGAGAAGAATGATGAGAAATCGGCCACTCAAAAACGCAGCTCTAAGCAAAAGCGAAATCTGAGCCTTGATAATAATCGGATGGGAACCCAGCCACATTTACAGCATATCCCAGCTAAAAGCATACAGAGTTACGAGGCAGAAACACTGAATCGGAAGGAACACAATCGGAATAAATACTTGGAAACAGAAAGTAAAGTTGGTCGGGGGACTAGCGATCAGGATGAGCTCTTCTCGGTACATAGCTCGGCACAGAACTCGGCGGCCACGTTACCCATAGAAGCGAATGTAAAGTTGCCAATCGGGCGACGTCTTTTAAGAGGCGAAATTGGTATCAAAAGCTTTAACTACTACCTCCTGAAGGAGGGCTTAAAAAGTTCCAAGAAGCTTGATAAGCAACGCAATACAGGTGATAAAACCGGCAATACTGTCAAGAAATTACATACTCGCAGCGAGGAGAACATTTATGAAGAGATATTCTTTAGGGATACGCCAATCTCAATTAATCCAAAAAATAACGCACCAATAACAGCTGGAACTGTGCAACCCGATGAGGATATCGAAAGGCAGCACCATAGCTTGCCAGATTCGGTCATTTTTGCTGATTGTGAGCTCTGCATGCAGCAATGCAGAAAAGACAATTGCAAGTTTTGTCTTGTCCAAGGTGAGTCGATGGCAAATAGTCAGCTGCATAAAGACAATGGCAGCGATAAGCAGACAAGCACAGAAGGCGGATTGCCGGCTGCCCATATACTTGAATTTCAGTCGTACAATCCAAGCAATCCGGGCGTGTATAAAATTGAAACGACGCCCGTGGCAATAACGGGCGAATACAATCCAATATTGCAATTCCAGAAATCGTCTGCGAAAACATCCACAGCTGCCACGATAGCGTTCTGCGAGCAGCAGCATAATAACCATCGCAATCACCAACAACAAGTTCAGCAACAGATGCAGCTACCAGCTTACAGAGGATTTAATAAACACCAGGAACATTCCAAGTCTTACCAGCATAACGTAGCAAGTCATCCCCTTGCGAATCACTACAACGTAGGCGGTAGCCTGTTGCTGGCACAGCTGACAGCAGGTCAACCGCAGCCGCACCTGCAACAGGATTATATTGTCGGCTACAAAAATGGTAGTGTTGCGCCGACAGCTTCATCCGTGCATCATATCAATACGAAGTCTTCCTCGTCTAATGACTCGCTGCCCTATCACAAATATAACACAATGCCACTACTAGAAACGAATGTATTTGCAGTACCGGGCACCGCTGACATATGCTATGCCATAGGAGGCGTAGGGGCGCCATCGCTGCATCCTTTAATGTGTGCGGCCAGTAGACCTATTGGTGGCTCGCAAATTTTGGTCGATCAATTTGAATCGCATATGTACAAGAGCGACTCGAAGGCTTCCATCCTGAGTGAGTTTTCTCTTCGCAGCAGCGATAATTCACAGCGGTACTCGCGCTACCCGCATCACTCCAGCCTCTTTTCCTCGCACACTCCTCGCACAAATCAGCGTCGACTCTTTGGCAGCTCGGAGAACTGTCGGGTTGTCTATGACTGTAGACGCTGCAGCTTTGACGGCGTCATGAGTGCTGGTGGAGTCGGAGTGATCCCGGTTGATAAATGCAGCAACATGGATAACTGCCGTAACTGCGACTGCTCATCGAGCTATGTCAGTTCCGACTTTGATGATATTTATGGCTCGACGGCGCGTGGTGGCAGCAGTGGCATTCCGCGTAAAACGGCGGCAGGTACGTTGCCATCCAGTGGACCGACAGATCCAACTAGCTACAAGGCACCGACGCCTGAGCTCGACCTCAAACAGAACAAATATGCCATGGACTTCTTCAAGCATGTCAATGATGTAAAGCGCAGCATTTACCAGTCCGAAATGCAGCGTAATATAAGTTTGGAGTCAACACGTCGTGGACATCGAACCAGTACCAACAATAATTCCAATTTAAGTCCTAAGACCAAAGCCTCATATCCTCTGGAAGCGACATTTATTGTGACTACATTACCACTTAGCAAAGGGCGTGCCATGACAGCAAAGCCCACGCCGGCGCCCAGAAACAGCCTTAAAAATCAGTCACAAAAGCAGACACCGGAGGAAGATACGCAGCAGAGAGAAAGCAGACACACACAAAGTAATCGTAAGCAGCATCCTAGAGAAATACATGAATATCCTTCATTGGATCGACTAGTAGCCTCCACAACTGGTGCTACACCAAAGTGGCAATGCCGCGCAACGTCGGAGGAAGGGCCTAAAGGCAACAAACAAAGGACCATACAAAAAGAAGCAGAGCTTAAAGAGCGACATGAACGAAATGCACCTACAGCTTCCTTTGAGCCAATTGCGTCATCTACAGTGGGTACCTCAGGTAAGAAACATCATCGCTCGAATAGCGGTAACCCAGCGTTAACCATACGTCGCAAGGATATACCCGCGCCACCGCCACCCTCGCCAGCCACTTACTCAGATCTGCAAGAATTGAAGGCCAATATGGAGGGACTTCGGGACGACACCAAGTCACGCTCTTTAGAGAGTGAAGCCAGCGAAGCTCCCACAACTACAGGGCAAGCGACTGTTAATGTAGTTGAAGCAACTGTAAAACGCACAGAAGCCGCTGTATTAACAGACGCGGCTGAAAGTAAGCCAACTATATTGGCACTGACAGCGGAAGAGACCGGAAAGAACAATGCAACAACGGTGGCAAGCAAAACGGCACCGGAAGTGGATGAAGATGATGTTTTCTACGATGCACGCAGCGAAAACTCGATAGGCAGCCTAAGTTTCCCACCTTCAGCGGAAGGGGCTCTACAATTAGCGAATTCTGGTCAAAAGAAAAAGGTAAGCATGCAAATTTAATAAACTAATTTTAGGAATCCAAACTTGCTTGAGAAGGCAAATAAATCGAAATTTTAGGAGAAAGTAAGGAAGTCTTTGGTACGCCGAAGATTAAATACCCGTGCAGACAGCTTTCAAACGGGTTTGCTCGTAAATTTTCAGTTCAATGAAAACAGAACCTAGCTACTTCTTCCCTTATATAAAATGTGTGCGTATTAAAGGATCTTTATGAAACAAGCAGGAATAATATAATCTTCAAATTTTCATTTTTCATTTTTTACAGGAAGTGTTCTTAATACAGCTAGAACTGGATAAGTGTGGCGTATTTGCACAATCGGTAGGTACAAACCTGACAACGGATAAGAACAAGCAGCAAGGTTACCTCAAGGAAGAGAACTCGTTACCAAGTACAACGTTGGATGCAACTGTATCGAATCAACCGTTACCAAATAATGCCAATGTTGCCGGGGTCAAAAGTAAAACATCAGCAGAGGCTAGCATCAATAAAAGTATCTATACATGTTGCCAAACTGAAGCAACAGCCAGTAGTCAGCGCAACGAAGTAACAGTCAAAACAAACACCGAAGTAGCGAGCACAACAAAACGCAATAATAAGACAAGCATATCTGAGGTAACAACCAGAAATGTTGACGCAACCATAGCGGAGGGGCAAGCAACCAGTTTGATGGCAACAAATGTTGCCCACGACGATTCAACAATCATTGGAGCAACATTGGAGCTCGAGTTCAGTTGCAATTCAGCACACACGGACAGCGCAACGCTTGCAAACAGGTACGCGTAACGTGATATACATTACACTGGCGCTAATCTGTAACAATACAGATAAACGCATACATACCAGGTTGTAAATACATATATATAGGAATCTAAGTTGTCAATTCCATTCTTTTAGTTAAAGCACTTGTTGTTTACTTGTGCAGATAATATAATACGTTGCAAATACAACCGATATTAACTGATTTTCAGCCGCGAGCAACACGTTTTAACAACCCGCATAATTTATAAAAAGATATATATGTGTTTGTGTTCAAAAAGTGCAGAGTGTGAGTCGTAAATGTTTGTGTGTTTAAACAGAAAATGTGGAGTGCAAAAGATTTAAAATAAGAATCTGTTCAAAATCTATAAATCCAACTGCATTACTGCCCACTAGAGCTATGGTGGAATTGTATGTGCATTTGAAATTTCTTTGAAGGACAACACAAAAGCCCAGAAAAAAAGTCAAGCTTAGGCTTAAACCGTGAACTCAGTGGGCTTAAATGCGGGCTATTATTGTTATTATTATCATTGCTACAATTATTATAAAAATGTAATATTTATTATTATTGTTATGAGTATTAAAAATAATAACAATAATAATAATAATAATAATAATAATAATAATAATAATAATAATAATAATAATAATAATAATAATAATAATAATATAATTATTATATATAAATATAATATATATTATTATATTATTATTATTATTGTTATTATTACTTTGCCAATTTACTAAAGTTGCAGGTGTAATTCAAATTAAAATCTCCGAATAATGTATTAATTAAGTTTATATTTTTCACTACCACCAACGTACCTTCAGTTAATATTTCAACTTGATGGCTTTAACGGATTCGGGCTTGCGTGATCGGAAATCAATTAATCAGGATAAAATACATATTTATCAATTAAATTAAGGTCACACAATGCATCCCTAACAAGTTTAATGCAAAAAAAAATTATAGTAACGAAATAAAATAAAAACGAGAAAGATGGGCTATCTTTGGCACACCAAAGATCTAATACCCTTGCAGACCCAACTTTTTCATAATGCTCATTGTGCTTTGCCCCTATCTAAGAAGTACCGGGAAAATAGTAAATGCCGAGTTTGGACAAGATATCTTGATAATCAAAATGTTTTTTCATACGACTTAATTTTCGACCGATCGTTCCTATGGCAGCTATATGATAAAGTGGTCCGATATTAATTCGATTTTGCCCATATATGAAGAGTAAAGTAAAACTAATAAAAGCCGAGTTTGGTCAAGATATCTTGAAAAACAAAATGTTTTTTCATACAAAAACTTTTTTTTTCAACCGATCGATCCTATGGCAGCTATATGATATAGTGGTCCGATCTTAATAGGATTTTGCATATATATGAGAAGTAAAGTAAAACTAATAAATGCCGAGTTTGGTCGAGATATCTTGATAAACAAAATGTTTTTTCATAAAAAAATTTAATTTTCGACCGATCGTTCCTATGGCAGCTATATAATATAGTGGTCCGATCCAGCTGATTTTTAAATATGTGCTGCGTGTAACAGAAAGAGGGAGTTCTGCAAAGTTTCATTAAGATAGCCTTAAAACTGAGGGACTAGTTCGCATAGAAACAGACAGACGGACAGACGGACATGGCTATATCGACTCGGCTGTTGATGCTGATTAAGAATATATATACTTCATGGGGTCGGACATGTCTCCTTCTATGCGTTACACATTTCACGACAAAATTATAATACCCTCTGCAAGGGTATAATTATAAAATGAGTGAAGGCCAGTAACTGTGGAGAGTTTGAAATTAGTAATGAAAAAAAGTTGTAAAATAATTTATAAACGGTGGATATTTACGTATTGAATTAATTCGGATTTTTGTGTAAAGATTTGGATTGTGTTTCGAATAAATATAAAAAATATGTCTGATATTTTGATTAAAACCGTACCGGAAACTTCCCGCGGCTTCCGTTTAGAATATAAATTTGATAATCAATAATTTGCGGAAAACATTTTCCTGCACACGAAACAGCCACACAAAGAAATATTTGGTACGTAATTTGTACGTATTTAATTCAATTTGTTGTTTTATTTGCATTTTACCAAAAGCTCTCATGCATTTAAAAGTGCATTCAACATGTACATTTACACAACAAATCAAAAAAGAAATGAGTGTGTTAACACCATAGTTGAATTTTACGTACTACGAAATCTTTGAAAACAAAAAAATGTCGGGGTCTTTGTTTTAATTATAATTAATATATAATGACTATTGGGTTGTAATTGTCGCCGTTTACTTGTTATAGCAAGCATATCAAAACGATAAAATTGTAATAAAATTTTAGGCTAAATAAGAAGATGATATATTTCTACCAAGCCTAAGCTATGCTTATGAAGCAACTGCCCATAGACTAAATAGCTAGATTACAACCTTAAGCCTTAAAGTGCGCAGCTTTGCTCAAACAGGTGAAAAATTAGCTAACTTCCAGCAGCTTACGATTGCATAGGTATACCATAAACATTTTAATAAAGCGATAAAACTTGTTTTCTATGACCGCCACTTAATATGCTCTTGGTCATTGGCTTCAGAGCATTGGCGGCGAGTTTCGTTGAGCCTGCTGCAACTGCAGTTGCTCGCTTCTTAAGCGGACAGGGGAAGCAGAGACAATATGAAAGCTGTAAAATGACTCGTCCCAAATTTGCAGACAACTGCCATCGTTTTACCCATACCCACCAATAATATCCCCTGCCACAAGCCACGAGACAGATAAGTTAAACCAGTTTTATAGGCTGCATTACTATGAGTTGATTTCGTTTATACTTTTGAGGTATGAGCATGTGTATGGGTAATGGCGATATTTATTTTAAGATCTGTTCGACTGGTAGATTTTAGAATGAAATGCAAATGTAGTGCACCTTATGAAGCCTATGATTGCGAATTTTAAAATTTTTTAAAGCCATGTAGCATCAAAAAGTCTTACCTTTTACCCATTAAAACGTATAAATCATTTGTGCAAATATATGTTACAGATACAAATACACTGTCGTCGATAAGAGCAGACTCTAGATAGTCTTGTTTAAGGCATACTCTAAAAGAACGGTAAACTAATAATATTGTTATGCATATACCCTTTTAATACAATATCTGTGGGTACAGAGTATAAAAACGTGTCCCAAAACATTATTGGATGTGCACAAAGTATTTCCTGTTTATTACGTGGAATTTTCACTTTCGTATAGTTTAGTAAATTTTAATTCGCTTAGTCATTTATAATTGGCATTTTTGAATTAACTGATTAACGTATTAGTCAGTAAACAACTAATAATTAAATAACTAACCACTACAAATTTAATCCTTTTTTACACTGATACCAAAGGGTAATGACATCGAATTGTCTACCCATTATTTTTCAATAATAATAATGACTCTATTCACAAATAGTATGCCTGCTTTCCTAATCATTTAAGCAAAAGTATATTATACCATACAAATTGCCAGCCATACGGCTGGGAGTTAGGTTGTTCGAAATTACCGTTGAGTGGCTAAATATAATAAGATCTAATTTATAAGATTGATATCCTCGCTAAGCAGAATAGGTCGCAAAAATAGTCTGTTTTCCTAGAAATTTGCCTATTTTAACATATCTGCCGTAAGGCACAAGGGTATTAAGTCTTCGGTGCCAGTCGCCACTTGACCAATGACAACTGTAGATGCTGGAGACGAGTACATAAAAATGATAAATCGCATTGTATGCTTGTGTGTTGCGTTCTAAAAAAAATTGCCCAGCCATTTTGGTCAGGCTGCTATATTTTGGGTAACATTTAACAGGGCTTATTTATGCGCTCGTATGTATATCAGTTCGCATGTAACCTAGCAAGCACATTTTGGCTACCTATAAATTGAGTTCAGAGCATTCATATATAATATGTTCGTTCTGGGATAGGTTCAGTTTTTATACTCTGAAGTAAGTAATTCATATAAATGGCATTCTATACCCAAATATGTTACTTAAAGCGTATTTTACAGAATTTTGGCTTGTTATATACTATATAATTATGTACTGTCTTTGATATAAGACATGTGGTAAAGCATCAACGCTATATATGGAAACTAGACGCTTAAAGAATTTTTATCGCGGCTAAAGGCCATCTCGAACACACAAAGCAAAAAGATTTAGACAAGTAGGTGCTCCAATAGAGAGTGCCTAACTAAGAAATACCCAGCACCCATATCCAAGCTGCCGTTACAGACAAATTAAATGCATTTATTTTCTTAATTATTAGGTGGATTGGGCATGAATTGGAAACTTTATGACTATTTATTTCTCACAAGTTGAAAGAAAAAGCTAGCCAAAAAGCTCATATTGATCGATTTCTGTAAATGGGAAACGTTATCAGAAATTTTAATGAAACTTGATCTGCGTTATCTAATTCTAATTATCTCTTAAATCAATGATTGAAACATAACGGACAGGGAGCAGGCTAGAGAGAAATGGCTAGATTGATTTAACCTGTCGTGACCAAGAATGTTATCAAAGATGGTGGGCCTGTAACATACTTTTATGCAATGGGAATACCCTTTTAACACATTTTCAATAGCTACAGGGTATGTTGGTACAGCCTTCCAAATATAGGAAAACTAGTTACGACACGTCTATAGTGCCCATTATACCATATGCTCGAATTTCAATTCTTTAGTGGAAAGTTTAACTAACTCAAATCTCTTTTTATAGTGTCCCGGAGATGTTATTTATTTATGTATATGAAGAAACACGTTTTCAATTTATCTTTGTTTATTTAATGATAAGATTGAATAACTACAATCGACACCTATGCATTTAGGCCCTCGTGAGCATTGTTCAAAATGGTATATAATATTTTGAGCAAAACTATGTCGAATTTTTAATATTGAATATTTATATTTAGTTATTGTCAATTGCTAACCATTAATACTTGAAAATATATCCATCGGTAGAAAATTAAGTTTTTGTATGAAAAAACATTTTGTTTATCAAGATATCTTGACCAAACTCGGCATTTATTAGTTTTACTATGCTCCTCATATATATGCAAAATTCTATTAAGTCCGGACCACTATATCATATAGCTGCCATAGGAACGATCGGTCAAAAATTAAGTTTTTGTATGAAAAAACATTTTGTTTATCAATTAGTTATTTATTAGTTTTACTATGGTCCTCATATATATGCAAAATCCTATTAAGATCGGGCCACTATATCATATAGCTGTCATAGGAACGATCGGTCGAAAATTAAGTTGTTGTATGAAAAAACATTTTCTTTTTCAAGATATCTTGACCAACCTCGGCATTTAGTAGTTTTACTATACTCCTCATATATATGCAAAATCATTTTAAGATCGGACCACTATATCATATAGCTGCCATAGGAACGATCGGTCGAAAATTAAGTTGTTGTATGAAAACTTTTTTCTCATTCGAGATATTTTGATTAAACACAGCATTTAAAGATTTCACTATGCTCCTTCATTTTTGTAAAATCTTATTTACATCGGACTACTATATCATATATATGCCATGGGAACGATCGGTCAAAAACTAGGTTTTTTGATTAAAAACCTTTTTTGTTTATCAAGATATCTTACCCAATTTCGGCATTAACTGTTTTCTCTGTGCTTCTTAGATACGGGCAAAATACTATAAGCATTATGTCTGCAGGGGTATTAGATCTTTGACGTGCCGAAGATAGCCTTTCTTTCTCGTTTTTAATTCATAATGTTAACAGCATTTATATTAGTTCACCTATCTTTAATAGAATTGAACTTTCTAACTTTCAGTGATCCGTCTACAGTGACTACTGAAATAGTAGCAACATGCCAGGATATCACCTGTCTCGACTCTAGTGAGGCATTTTCGGATGATAGTCACCTGACACGTGACTCGGTTACGCGTGAATCGCAAAACGACGAACTTTCATCATCGACGCACGACAAGATCGATCTTAATACCTTACCACTTCCCGCTCTACCGACCAAACGAAGACGCACACGATTACGCGCCAGTCCCTCAAAGAATCATCACCAACAGCAACTGCGCTTAGGAAACAGTCAATATGAAGATGTGGCAGAAAGGGCGCCACATCGAAATAAAAAACCACAAAGGTACTCAGTCCAGGAAACGATAAACACTGAGCAACTGAATGTGCCACACGATAACGCAACACTGCAACAGAATCAGCAGCAGCAACACCTCTCCGCATTTCAGATATACGTTGCCAAGCGACGTGAAAGTCTCGAAGCATCGTCTCGTAATTTTAACGAGAAACTGGAGGCGCGTAGAATGCTCTGCCATATGGGTGGTAATGGCGGCACAAGTAGTTCACCCGCTACTGCAGCAACGGATGCTGGAGTGCCTACATATATATTTGGTGAGAATTCCTATGGAATATCTGGTGCTACGCAAAAACCTTATTCACCAGCCGGCAATAAAGAGGAAATCTTTCTTAACAAGTCTGGCTGGGTACAAGTGAGCAAAAAGCTGAATATGAACAATGATAACAAAAACCGAAGTGTAAATAAAAGTCATCATAATGGAAGAGCTATTGAAATGGATAAGGATCATGGGCGTAAAGCTATACGCGTTATAAAAATTGATCAAGCACACCGTCAAGAGCAAACCCGGCAAACATTTGCACAAAATTCGGCAAGCCGGTGTGATCGGGAACTCAAATTCGGTAGATCCAAGGTTGAGGAGTTAATTCAGCGCAATGAAGCAGAAATGGGTGGGATATCCCCAAGAGATTCAGCTCTGCGTCCGGGCTATCGAATTGTGGATCCCCAATTGGCAAGCATATTCAATGAGCGTCCCGCCTTTCTGCCCGTTTCTGATCTGGATTCACCGCCACCCACAACCCCTATTCTTTCGCCACCGCTCGCTTTTCAGGATAACAGCAGCAACTACAATCGCACAAATCGACATCAGGACCGACGCAAGATTGACCTCAAGTCGTATGTACCTACTCAGCAATTACGGGTACTTCAGAGCCCGATGCAAATGCAACAGCAGTTGGGACATGGCACTGGCACCGGCAGTGGCAAGGGCATGGTCTTTTCGCGCAGCTTTGAGTATGACATTCGTCGACCCACACCCACAAACAGATACGTGGAGACATTTTCGCGCAGCTTTGATGACAACCTGTCGGAACGACCCGTAGTCATGCCGTCGTTGGCAGTGCAGCGCGAACGCTCCCTCAACTTTAGTACACTAACTGGTAATTCGCCAAATTACTTAACGAAGCGAGAAGCCGGTAGTGCAGGCCAATCGCTGCGCAGCCGAGAAAACTCTCCAAAATACCTTCAGCCGCAAACCACTGCTTACCTTAATGCGTCTGTGAAGGAAGCACCACCGACCTACAGCGTAGCTAGCAACAATATGGCAAAGTATTCGCCGCGCTCCCGTCATGACCGCGCCTTTGAGCGCTCCAATGTAATGGGACGTTCCCGGAAGTCACAATTCAGCTGCATGCGTAACAGTGGTTCAGGTGGCCCTCCGCTTATCGTCCCAGGAATGTCGCGTTTTCGCAGCCTCGATATCACCATCAATAATCGTCTTAACTCTTGCGACAGCGGTGCCCGATCAGGTAAATTTATCTAGCTCCTATAATAAAAATTTATGAACAATTTTATAAAATCAGTTTAAGCATTAATACAAACGTTTAGTAAGCATCTAGAAAATATTATTTTCACAGATCTTTCCAACGACGAACTTGATAACGAAGAGGGCAGCTCTACGGATTTCCTTTTAAATAACTATCAGCTCCCTAATGTGGCCACGGGAAGCGCTAATGTTTCACCATTTAAGTCTCAGCGTCAGCGATCTCTAACACCTGACCGAAACGACTCGCACAGCTCTTCAAGCAGTTTGCGAAAACAGCGTTCTCTCACGCCGGACTCCCGCTCTCTGACTCCAGAAGAAAGACGAAAAAAGGGCTCTCAGATATCCTTGATTGGTTCCCGGCAGAGCTCCAGCTCCCGCAGCAATACGTTAGACCGACGACAGCGTCATGATGATAAGACTCCACCAACCATTTCACGCAGCTCTTCTAGTTCCAGCTACAGCGGCGGCGAACCGCATGATCTATTGAACGGCAGTCCCAACACTGGTAGCGCTTCTATTGGTGCATCTTGTGCGACCAATTATCGCTGTTCGATGGGACGCACTGTAACCAAAAAGGTAGAGCAGGAACATCTCATTAGACGCTCCAGGTAAGAGCAGGCGAAACTCATAAATGCAAACGTTATAAAGTATTGTGCATCACAGTAGATCCCTTCAACTCAGCGAGCGGTCACCAAATCGCACGCAAAACTCGATAGTATGTATGAGTGGTGTATCCCCACTGCAAAAGCAACAGGCAACGGTTCATTATCAGCAAGCAAGTACTGGCGTCTTTCCAAACTCCCTACGTGCCACAGTATCCGTCAACAAAGTATTGCCCAGTTCAAAGGGAACGACGGGCAACTCAGCTCGACAGCGTCAGGTCGACGTGGACAAGGCACGTTCCTTTGATTTTGACTACAACAATTACAATCGAAGTGGTGCCACCAGCGGTGCCACACGTTCCGCCCATACCAGTAGCGGTGGTGGTGGTGGTGACAGCGGCAACAATCAGAATTTACGCTCGGATTGTGACAAAAGCCGGTCTTTTGATGACGACTACCGCGAAGCACTGCACAACAACAATGGCATTAGTAGCTCTGGCATTCACTTTTTTCAACCAGGCAATGAACCGAATGCTGCTGTAGCATCGTCCACCCGGTTGCGCCAGTCTAACTCTCCAGGGGGTGGAGCGGGCCATGATCACACGCCGACACGTTCACCACAATCTTCAGGTTCATCGTCCAACAACATCCACCTAACATCGCAATGCACGAGCAGCCCCCCCGGAAAAAGCTATGGTATGCGCCTGTGTGACCATGAACTATCCTACGATATGCTGAGAAAGTCACCGATCATGAATTTCCGACGTGGGGACAGCGAATACGAGATCCCCGTGCTGCTGCGTAACCGCGAAACTATCAACTCCGGAGGCAACAGTGAACTTAACTTTATGAGCAACGAAACGCATATTTACGAGCACCCAACGACTGTGCTTAAGCCGCAGCATTCAGGCTCACGTGAAGAGCATTTGTACAGGGCGACAGGTGGGCAGCCGCGCAGCAGCAGGTACTAAAGCGACTGATTTAAAGATTAATCAATTTCCCGTATCAATATTGGACAAATCTTTCCCTTTAAACTATATTTAAAGCGCACCATGGTTTATTCTAAAAGTCGCCTCAATCAAAAATAATTTATAAAGTTCCAAGTTTAAGCGACTAACTTGACCAAAACATATTCCCAGGGTATGCTTTAATATGTTGTAAAAAGACTGCTTGTGTACACTAATCCCGTGGCAAATAACTCATTGTACTCCCTTTTGCTGATACTAACGAATGGTTAATGGATAAAGTAATGCAAAATAAAAGTATTTTAAGCATAGCATATGCCAAATCTTAAAACCAAACGAAAATACCAAACAAATATTTAATTTATAATTAAATATAAATGCCATCTAATTCATGCTAAAAATATGGAGCAGAAATACTAATAAGAAACTGTACAGTTCGGATCGTATATTGGTTTTGCACTAAGGCACCTTTAAGTTTCTCGTTACACATATTTTGCAGTCCTGAACCGCAAGCCGCAAGAACAGCTACCAACAAAAAATGCAGAAAAGGTCTAACATCTTGTGATTATTGGCCACGTTGTGGTGCATGCAGGAGCACAAGCTCTAGTAACTTACAGGATCTTGCATCTTTGGGTCAGGGCGCAATCAGAAGACAAGATTCATTGCCCGTTGTTACTCAAGATGTGCAACAGCCACATATTTCAAAGGTGGCCTTAAAGGGGAATTTCATTAAACTCGACATAAGTGAAACAGCAACAATAATGTCCCCTAACCAGGCCGGTATACCGCAGTGGATGTTCCTTTGTAGCGGGGGCATTAATAGAAAAGCTGAAATCAATCCTCATGACTTAAAAACCACCAATAGAGATCGTCAACAGCCAACTGCTGTTATTCGGCCTCGTGTCGTTCCCTTGACCGCCAGTTCACTTGTACTTGTGGGAAATTCCGATCTTGTTACCGGAACACAAACTACTGATGTCAAAGAATATCAGCAGTCCAATCATGTGCCTACGGAAACTCTACAAAGGTAAGGGCACACGAAACTATTTATATTGAAAGCTTGGTCTCTCTATATATACAACTTATTGTACTGACTGACTTACTGATTGGCGATAAGCGCACAGCCTAACCCGTAAAAGCCAGCCTTATATGAAATTTCACCAGGGATCATAAAGTTTTTTGTTTACCATCCGATGGCTCGCAAACTCAAATTTTACCTTTTTGGAAAAATTTGTGGCTTCACAATCATCCTTACATATCTGTGAAACTGTACTTTATATATTGTGCGTAGAAGACAGTCCTTTCCGATTTATTTAGCGACCAAATCAGTTTAACTTATATGCTCAAAATCAATTCTTTGGGCCTCACAACGCCCAGTAATACCAGCTGAAAATAAAATAATATAAATGAATTTCTTTCTTTGCTTTTTAGCACCATGAAAAATATCTTAGAAAATACAGACCACAGTGAGATGCCAAATCAAGAACACCAATTGATGATGAGCCGTAATAAACGGAAACTGCCACGATGCAATTCACTTCCGGTCAGAATTTCAGCCTCACCGAATCTGCAACCAGTGGAAACTATTGTAAGGTATGTGTTATATTTATTAATTAATATGTAATGTATGAGCTTAGAGCAATAAAGAAGCAGGCATTGCGAGCTTCGAAATTCATTTTCGTCCTGGCTCGTCAAAGCCACGAAAACTAGAAGTTCAGGACGAAAATGCATTTCGAAGCGCGCAATGCCCGTAAAGGAACAATAAAGCCCGATATTACCCAATGTCTGAACACTGAAGATAAAATATCTTCTAACCTTTTTTTCGAAGTATTAAAATAAATTTATTAAAGATCACCTCATGTGCACATATCTATTAGCAGCACCTATGTACTGCTACTATGTACTTCCTGCAAAAGAAATATGAACCTTTTATAAAGATATCTCCCCTCTATGAGTTAAATATTTCATGACAAAATTATAATACCTCTATAAGGGTATAACAAATCATGTACAAAATTGTAGTATGTTTTGGTTGACTTTTACAGAATCCTCAATGATTGGATTTTATAAAAGCAACTGTACTTACGTATTATCAACAAATGATAACTGTCATTCATTAAATTACTTTGTAAAAGCATAGGACTATTTAAAATTTACCATTTAAAAGGACCAGTTTAATTTAAAAAAAAAAAAAAAAAAAAATACGTGTTGTGCCTGCCCAGTTTTGACTGAGCTATAACTCAGTAGGTTAGTCACTTATTTATTGACTTAAGCATTTATAATTAAATGAAATAATATATTGAAAGCTAAATTCTGTATTTCTGACAAGTAATTACTTTATCATGCATAAAGCTGCCATTTGGATGAAGGATGGAGAAAATGTAATCTAGTAGTAAGGCTTACATTAAAACAATTTTTAGCTTATCGGTAAACAATCCTCTTACTTAACCAAATGCTTAATTGTCAGGAAAATGGTTTATTGAATTTGAAATTAACACCCCACTTTCTGGTTTTTAAACCTTTTAACATATCGTAAAACATAAATAAAGCTAAAAGTGCTTTTGAATTTTCTGTTAAAATACTGTTATGAATACAGTAAGTGCATAACCATTTTGAGTTTAGCAGTCCCAATTTGAGTATGTTTTTTTTTATTGCTGTTGCTCAAAATATATCGCATTTCGATAGCTCATGGTTGACTTTTGTTGTTGAATTGTAGTCGAATAATAGGCAACGCGTCGGATGAACGTCAGCCTAAAAGAAAAAACTACATTAAAATTAATGTGAATTCGGCAAATAATATGGTGCTTTTGAGTTAATATGGATAAGTACGATTTATTGCAAATAACAATACTGAACATTTGCTGGCCGAAATCTGTATAAATTAAACTTATTTAAATGAAGTGCAGTCTCACCGGTCATCCATATAAATTTCAGTGCTCTATCATATATTTGTCTGACTTTTGTTACTTGCGCTTTCGGGGTATTTATATATGGGAAGCAGATAAACCATGGAGCTCAATTAAATGAAATTTACAAACCTTTTATTAAAAATCAACAGAAGACATTTCTCTGCTGCTGCAACAAAAATTCAAAAGTCTACAACTGCAAAATGTGCCAGAGAAGGCATCACGTAGAGAATTCCTGGTGTGCAGCATTTTGGATGACAAGAAAAAAACGATAGCAAAATCTAATGCATCTGTCTTAAGCGGTAGCAGTTGTGCAGATGAGTCTGTTAGTGTGTATCGAAAAAGTGCTGGCAACAGTCCAATTAAACCCTAAGAATGCTGAACAACCATCAGAAGAACGCAAACTGGTGCCCGTTCCCAGTAGAAGTGATCTAATAGATTCAATAGATTTCACAGCATCAAAGTGTCCAAATAATAATGCATCATCGCAAGTGTAAGTTAGAATATAAAGCTTAAAGTTCGAATAAGAATGGATTTTTCGAATATGTATGTAATAAGTATTAGAAGTATACTTACAGAAATAAAATTAAGTCCTGTTTATCTAGCCATGTCTTCCTGCCTGACCATTGTTTGTATTGCCTATAGTTCTCAGAGACTAAGAACTAAATGTACAACGTTTAATTTAACTATGAAATGTGTTTGAAAATGAATTGCTATAAAATATGTAATGTGTAGAAGGCAATTTAAGAGATCTTCAAAAGTATATATGTATACATCTTTATTCTTGATTAGTATCAATAACCAAGTCGATATATCCATGCCTTTTATGTAAACTGGTCCCTCAGAAATATTTTTAATATCAGATCAGTATATAATCAAGCTGCCTTGGAAACGAACACTCGAAAATTAGATTCTTGTCTTAAGAAATATTTATTTGTTAGATAGAAGCGAACGTTACTAAGGCAGGTTATGAAATAGTAAACTGATCCGGCCGGTATTGACATACATATATATCCGGGCGGTTTTGACATACATATATATTGCTTGCAATAGAATGAGAGAGGTATGCAGAGTCTTAAGACGATACTTATAAAACTGAGAAACTAAACTGGATAGAAAAACCAAGGACAAATGCTGATTCAGAATACATATACTTCCCATCCTTGCACCTGGCAAATTTAAAACCACCCGTAATATCTTGTATCTAAAGTAAAATTATGTAGGGTGTCTTTGCGAATGAGTAAAGGCATTATGATAGCAATTGAGTATGCCCAAAACATTTGATTAGTTGCTATAAAATTTCCAGGGAGCAACAGCAGAAAACATTATCACCATATGTGAAGAAATGTTTTTTAATTGCAAACCATACCAAAACTAGAAGCACTGAATCGTACCTTGTTCATAATTTACCTCGTGTCTTTGCGGGTCACCTGCTTTGTGTTCAAACTAGAAGCACTAAATCATCCCTTCTTCGTAATTTAAATCGTTTCTTTGCGGGACACCTACTTTTTGTTATAAAAACTTACGCGTACTATATCTATAAAATGTGTTACTTGCGATACGCAATGTGATATTGTGCGTTAGTTATGAAAAGCTATTGCGCTATCATTAAATAGTTGCTTTTGCTAGGTGTGTGATAAGACTGGTTTCGCTTTTATTCTCCAGCTAGACCTATAGACAGTTTAATCGCAACAGTCACTGAAACCATCGAAAATACTTAGATAAGAACCAGAAGTTGTTAAGGAAAACGTTTGGTTACAACATTGTCAGCGTAAAATGAAAGAATTTCTTCATGCATATGCACACATGCATACATACAATTGCAATTGCGATTGTATTTTATACTGTACTGTATGTGTGTCTACTGCTTTTTTACTTACTTTTTTAACTTATTTATAATAATACTAGTATATTCTTGTTGTAAGTGTAAGTGAAATAATATTCAGGGTATCTCCTAGTCAGATGCTCCCCATTAGAGCACTCTCACTGGTATTTTTGTGTATGTTTCGAATAAATCATAGTTATAACAACGGCAAGTTCATCGCGCTCATTAGTTTTTCATAATTTTCTTGTTTATATATATTTCCCGGAAATAAATCTATTTGCAACTGAAGAAAGATAGAAAGGGAAGAAAATTAACACCATATATTATCCAAGCAACTCGAAAATTTTAACTGTAAATGTGTTTTTTTCGGACTTTTTGTATTGGATACTGTGCATGTCCATTACTATTCCATTTTCAGAGGTTAAACATAAAATAGTAGTATATATCATTTGTGTATCTCAAAAGGTAAGGGTGTTTGTCTGAAAAATAAGTATTTTTTCATTTCGTGACATTTTATATCCCTCTGAAAAAGAGGGCAAATAACTCTAAGAAGAGTGTAGAGCCAACGCTCAGTAAGACATAACATTTTTCTCTTCAAAGCAAAGCCAGCCAAATGAGGACTTCCAGCTTTCCTACGACCAAAAACTATAGGTATTACTGTCACACGCATTTTAAAGGTAGCTGGTGAAAAGAAAATATAAAATCATAACTACAGCAACGGACACCACCAAAAACTGGTTTTGAAGCATGCCAGCACCGGCAGATGTTTTGTTACTTAATAAAAACTGCGAACAGTTTCCCTTTGGGATCCTTTTTGAGTTTTTCTGGCTGCAGTTGGTTGAAATTTTGAGTGAGTAGTGCAGCTGCGTTTCCTTAGGTAGTGCCTAAAACAACCTCGCAACAGCTGTTTCCGTAAGGCTTTCTATTCAAACATAACACGCAAACAAGTGTCCGGATTAAAAGCATGAAAACAATGAGCTATATACTTTTGAGCAGTTATGTTTGCTCGGAAATTAAAGCCAACATTTTTAATCATAAAACAAAACACGTTGCATGGTAAACTTCAGTTTATCCTTCAAAAACTTTAGTTTGAAGATTCTGAAAACACTCAATTCACATCTGTATGTATTGTAGGTGAGTGTGTACATGAGGTTTCTATTTTTCAGGCTAAGTAGCTTGTATACACTATTGATCAACAATTTTATCTCAAAATCCTTTAAAAGAAACTCACTCAAATAACACCCTCTGCAGAGTCCCGCTTACAAAATGCTCAATTGAAAATTATACAAGCGTTGTTATACAAGGGTTGTTTTTGGGCTCCTTACTGCGTCGGCTGGAATTCTTTGTTGATCAGTCTGCCTATGTGGAACATAGTAAGCACTATTCACATTTCGGTACGGAGTATATCACCAGAATATGTTTAATACAATTTTGCGTTCGAAAACTTGAAACTTTGAATGCACATAAACTCGCAACCATCGAATTATGACATTCAAGACTAACACAGTGTTAAAGTGAACATGAAAACCCAAGGAATCGCGAAAAAAACGGAAATAAAAACGAAAAATATAGAACCGAAAAAATTTTTCTTGCAAACTGCATTTACCAGTGGGTTGATGAGTGGAAAGTGCGGACGTTTTAATAATATTTTTAATAGGTAAACAAACTATCGGGAATTATTAAAATGTGATAACAGAAATGAAACTCAAACAAACCAGAAAAAAGTATTATTTATTTTGACATTACAATTATGAAGTAAAGGAATATTTAGAATGATGTGATGGATATTGACCATGTACATAATAGTCATCCTGCATCCTGACAGGAGAAATGCCAACTATTTCTTATACGCATTTTCTGATTTAATTCGTTGTAAATTGCAAATTCACATATATCACACGCGAATACATTTTTTGCTTTTGGGATACCAGCCCCATTCAAAATTAAAAGCACAGCCTTGCTCCCAGATATATACGTGAGTATATTCGGATACTATTATTACTGTGCGACCGAGAGAAAAATCCTATTTTAGCGACATGTATGCTTGTGTGTATTTTTATATACATTCGCATGGCGTTCAACTTAATCTTTCGACATCTGTGTCGATAAACGCTATATGTCCTAGTCGGTTACTCTCGACTACTGCTAGCATTAATTTTCCTAGCAAAGGAATTCAAAACCCGCAAAGCAAGGTAAACTTGTGTTATCATCTGTTCCATGTGCTGGCACGTCCTTTACATTTGCAACCCTTTTAAATATTGATTTATAGAATTTACATATCTGTAAGCAAATTTCACTAATGAATTATTATTTGTATAGATTGCCAAAAAGTGGAAAGGATAATGTCAGCATAATTGGTATTCACTGTAGCGGAAACAGCGAGTGCTTGGTAAGTATTTAGCATATATTATCTCGTTAAATATAACTAAAGCGTTTTTTAATATGTTCATGTCGCACATTGAGTGGTGCTTATATGCGGCTGCTGTATGATAATCCACTCTGTAAAATAACAGTTATAGCTTTTTGACCATTCAGTCAACTAAAAAATCGTTGACTATTAAGTAAAAAGAAAGTATTTTGTAAGAAGTATTAGTATATAAGTATTATATAGCTTTATATAGAAAACTGTTTGCCTGGTCGACTGATTGGTGATCAACGACCAGCCCATACCGTGAGAGCTGTAGTTAAGTTGTGAGATGAAGGTGTACGTTAAGACGAGGTTTTAGGAAATTCCACACGCACGTATGGAAAAATCGCGAAAATCGTTTGTATGAAACCTTAAGCGTACCATCGCATCGACCTCAAACTTATTTTCAAAAATCTTTGTTCAAATTCATTTGAAACGTGTTTCGCACTTTTTCAAAAATTTATTCCTCCTTCGTGGAAATGGAGGTCAAAGATTTGGTGGATGACGTTTTGCCCTCAAGCTCATTTTCAAGGATTTATATGAAAATCGTTTGAGACGTGTTAAACATTTTTCACAAATTCTAAAATCCTTCGGTAGAAATGCGATTCAATGATTTTATAGGCAAAGTTTTAAGTAGCGTCCAATTTGCTTCCAACTTATTTGCAGAGTTCTACATAAGAATATAATGAATACGTGTTTCAGTGATATGGGAAATTCCATCCGTAACAGTGCTAAATTAGCGGAAAACGTTTGAGTGACAGTTGTTTATTTACCATCCGATCAGTTTCAAAATCATTTTCAAAGCTTTTTGAGAACATTTATTTTATACCCGAAAGGGTTTGTATATGTGTGTGTGTGGGCATGCATATATTTATAAATGTAAATATGTATGTTTGATTTCTAATGCCAAACGCAGACCAAGCTTATTTGTAGCAGTACTGCAAATTGAAATAAAACGAATTCCTACCAAGTGCTCCACTCCTCGATTCTCAAGAATTCAAATAGGCTCTGCAGTTTTTCATGCTCAGCCAGTAGTGTAGTGCTTTCTTAGTTTTTTTTTTCTTTTTTTTTTTTTGATGTATATTTATTTATATTTACATATATGGCCATGGATGTTAGCATGTTTGTACATATGTATGTATATGCATATATATGTATGTACGTATGTTTGTATGTACATATGTACGTTTGTTCAAGTGTATGTATATATGCAGGTATTTGTATGTGTGTGTGTATGCTTGTATGTACATATATATATATATATATATATACATATATATATATATATATGTACGTCTGTATTTACATAGATAAATGTCTGTCTGTACGTACATATGTAAGTATGTATGCATTTACTTATACAAACAAACATGCATACATATATGCAGACATGCACACAAACATATATGTATGCATGCATATATTGAAAGGCATACAAACTTACATGCATGTATGCTTCTATGTAGGTATCCGGTGTGCGTTCTTATATGTCAGAAAAATCAGTTTTATCTGTAGAGATTATGTTTGTGTTTTTTTAGGTAGCCCGGTACCGATTTCCAGTTATATGTATTAATATGAATAATTTTTGACCACATTCCAAAAGATGTACAGTACATCTGTGGAGGAAGCTATATAAAAAGCAAGGGCATAAATACACACATATGTATGTTTGAATCCTCATCGGGTAACTGAGTGCATTTCTTGGAACCGTTGACTTGATCGCTTTTCTTGTTAATAATTCTTTTATTAATCATTTGAATAAGGCAAGATAATTGCTCTCTTAAAGTTCAGATTTGGTATCAGGAAAATTATAGTATGTTTTTTATGCAATAGTGCATTTTTTAATCAAGGTAAGCTTGGGACTTTTGATAAAGGCTGCGGAATGGCTTGGAAACGAACTGGTTCGAGCCCGCAATTCTGTTTTTATACCCTGAACCCATTAAAAATGGGTATAAGGGTATATTGTATTTGTGCGAAATCCAAATGCATGTAACAGGCAGAAGGAAGCATCTCCGACCCCATAAATTATATATATTCTTGATCAGCATCAATAGCCGAGTCGATCTGGCCATGTCCGTCTGTCTGTCCGTCCGTCCGTCCGTATGTATGAACGCAATGATCTCAAAACCTATAAGAGCTAAAGACTTGAAATTTTAAATGTAGGTGCTCCTAGTTCCCGCGCAGATCGTGTTTGTTTCCGATAATCGATAACTTACTCCGTTTCCAAGCAATCGATAAGAATCGATATCGACATCCTGGTTTTTTTTTTAGCAAATTGGATAAATAATAAGAGATAGAGCCACCAAACATGATATGTTGCTTCTATAATACTATAGATATTGTAAGTATCTTTCATTTCATACCTATCGCAACCTCCCCGCTACCGCATAACAGCTATAAATCAAGTTAATAACCCAACTTTTATTGCCAACCAATTTAAGCAACAATTTAAATGCAATTGACTTTTTCATAATATACAAATATTCTATGGTACAATAAGATATACTGTAGAAAATTTCATAAAGATCGGTTAAGAAAAACCAAAATTATATGCAACTGCGCAATTGAATGGGGCAGCAGCTTTAAGAATTTCTGTGTACATGTACACACACACATTCATGCGCGTCTGCTTCGCATTCTAACAGCATGGTAATTGCATCTTTTTTTTGTAAAGTTATTTAAGTTCCTTTTTTATCATAAGTACTTAATTGTTGGTGTGGCTGCTGAGTAGAGGCATAGCAGGTGGTGCGGTATGTCGCGAGTTCGAGCCCTACCGGGGAAAGTATTACTTTTTTGCTGGTGTGGCTGTTGAGTAGAGTCGACAGCAAGTAATGCGGTCAGTTGCGAGTTCGAGCCCTGCCAAGGGAACTTTTTTTTATTAATTTATTTGGTGTTGGAATAAGAGGGTTCAGGGTATGTCCTGGTCGGGAGCTCCCGACTAGAACCACTTACTTGTTATTCAATTTTAATGGGTTCACGATATGATAACAATGTTTAACTAACTGACTATTATAAAGTGCATAAACAAAACCTTTTATATAAGCGTTCTTCGCCAATTCACCACTGCAGAACTTCCAAAATTCTTTAAACATGTTGGGTTAGGCACAATATCGCAAAACATAATTATTTAGTTCTTATGTGGTGTTTTGCAATAAATGGTAAACTCAATAATATACATATATATATACATGAATTGTTAATTTGCATGTGCAGATATATAACAAACAATTTATCTTTAAATATAGAATCAACTTTTTTAAACCAGATTCTTTTTGGCAAATAAATAACTGGCCTGGTTTGGGTTATGACCGAATAAAATTTTGTGAAACTTGTTCATAATATGAACAAGTAAGAGGTTCTAGTCGAGAGTTCCCGACTAGAGAATACCCTGAACCCTCTTATTCTAACATCAAATAAATTAAACAAGTAAGAGTTTCTAGTCGGGAGTTCCCGACTAGGGGATACCGTCTTCTTCCAACATCAAATGCATATATATATTCTATTTTAAAAGCTATATGTCAAGTTCGGTGACTCTAGCTCTTTTTATTTACCAAAATTGCGCAAAAAACAGGATATCGATATCGATTTTTATCGATTGCTTGGAAACGGAGTAGGTTATCGATTATCGGAAACTAACTCTATCTGCGCGGGAACTAGGAGCACCTACATTTAAAATTTCAAGTCTCTAGCTCTTATAGGTTTTGAGATCATTGCGTTCATACATACGGACGGACGGACGGACGGACAGACAGACGGACATGGCCAGATCGACTCGGCTATTGGATGCTGATCAAGAATATATATAATTTATGGGGTCGGAGATGCTTCCTTCTGCCTGTTACATACATTTGGATTTTGCACAAATACAATATACCCTTATACCCACTTTTAATGGGTTCAGGGTATATAAAGGGTACAATGGTTTTATGTTAACACATGCATTGGTATGTAGACTCTCGCATAGTATGCACCAAGTCGGTCACTCACAGCTAAACCAACGTAACTTTTTATTATAATAAATTAAATTTGACATGATAATATACTTGTTTCATGGAAGAGAGAACCGACTGAGGCCAATTGCAGGCATTATGTAAACAATAAAAATAGTAGCCGGAAATACATTTATCTTATTATTATCAGTTTTATCCTCTAATATATTTTTTTTTTCAGTCGCAACAGATGCGTTCCATTTCGAGTCCAGCACTTACAGGCTCGGTAATATCGCCAAAGTACCTCCAAAATAAATTTGCGGAAGCTCGTGAGCTAACAAAGGATGCATCTGTTACAACTAAAACCAGTTTTGACTGCGGTATAGTTGAAGAGAGACACACTAGTCTGGGCGTCTTACAGAAATTTAAACGCACATTACATTACTTAAATAATAGAAATCAATTGCAAGTTACGCCCTTGCACACAGGGGCAATCGCCAACGCGGACTCAAAGCCAATGCCTATAAGTCCGATGGTCTCCATTACAGCACCTGCGCCAGCTGAAGACAATAAGATTGACACAACAGACAACTATGGCGTAGATACAAGCTCCGCCAAATACCGATTTGGACCGTTAATTTGGCGCACATCAAAGGAACGTAGAAAGACAAAATGTAATCGCCGCGACAAGTGCAATTCTGGTGACTCCGGTATTCAAATCGAGCCAGAGCTGGATGAACAGTATATGCGCACTCTGTCGTGCGGGCAGCCACGAGCAGCCAGTGCCCTGACCAACCCGTCGAGTGCCATGGACCCAAAGGCACGTACCATACGCCGTTGTCATTCTGCCAAAACAAGCACCATAATGGAACAAGCGGCTGTAAAACCCCCGGTGAAAAATCATCTTAATATAGGCAACATTTGCAATATAGAACGCGAAGCACCCGAGTCTTTACCTATGCGCTCCCTCAGTCAACCCAGTGGTTTAGAAATATATGGGAAATGCAGAACCGATATAGAGGACAGCGATAGTGACAGCATTGCGCCACATGAGGAAGGTACGTATGTCCTGACTAGTTGCCTAACTGGCTGATTGGTTTGCAACACACAACGCTAATCATAAGCAAGTACATATTTTATTGTGGACTATTCAATTGGCTTCTAATGCATTATCCGAGATCTAACATTAACTACAGGTTTATTTCACATTTTTCAATATCCATACCTTTTGGATGAAATGTGCCACCACGGGACTTTAATTTACAGAAAGTCATTTAAAATATTACTTAAGAGTGTAACAAATATCTTTTTTAAATATTACTTAATTACTTACTTATTATTCAAAAGAAAATAGCTGTTTAATGTATAGGGAATTGTTTAAAATTCCTCATTCAGTCCACCGTAAATAAATGTGATCATCGATTCAACTATCTAACCCTTATGATTAGTGCTATACATGCAACACCAATCAGTTCATTTGTCTGATTTGGAGTGTACGCGATTGTCCATGAGTTACCGTAGAGACATAAGATACAAACGCATATCAACTTACCTTACAGCAAACAACTACTGTCCCATTTATGCGGAAGTGCTCTACAACTTTACCGCGGCTGGGCCCCAAGAGCTGGGTCTGGAGCGGGGTAATTTAATCGAGATATTGCGGAAGGAAGTAGGCCCCTGGTGGTTTGGACGCATTAAAAAGGAGGATGTTAGTCTTGTAGAAGATATTCATGATCCTGAACTTGGCTGGTTTCCCAAAGAATTTGTGCGCATAATTCACAACTGTGAAATAAATGCTCTGCTAAATATGCGAAAGACGAAGAGAGATGATGTATCTTTTCCTGCAGCAGTTACAGACATCCAAATTCCAGTGCCCGTTAGTGAACTAAACACCAGCGATAACAGTACTAATTTCATGATTCTGGATCAGAGTAACATCACAACTATAGTCATTGAATTACCCTCATCAACTGTCCTCACGTTACCACCGCGCATTAGTAAGCAACAGGACAGTTACGATATAATGCAGCACGGTGCTGTTCGTGAGCTCCTCGAAACTGAAATTAATTACGTAAAGCTTCTCGCTTCGATTTGCGATGGGTAAGTAAATAACGCAATAGTCAAGAAATACGCACAAAAAATAATTCATCTTTATTATTTTAGGTTTTTGCCTGCCATGAGCAAACGCATTGATATATTTTCTCCCAACAGCATACGACTTATATTTTCCAATATAACAGCCATTTACAAGTTTCAGCGAAAGTTTCTGGAAGCACTGCGCAACGGCATTGAACAGAACCAAGTATCTAAAGTATTTCTAAAAATGGTGAGTGAGTCTATTACCTTTTTTTTCGAGCGTGTTGAAAATGTGTAACATATACATATACTACATTTTACTGGTACTTTCTATATTAAAAAAAAATCAGTATAATCTAGCAAGCATTTTAACTTTTTTATATGTAATGAGGATTAAAAATTTTTAAGAATTAAAATGGTTACTGGCAATAGTTTTAGCAAGCTTTTTAAAAGTTGAATTGTGTTCCTAAGCATATTCATCCAAAAGCCTAAACGCCAACAAAATATTTTAATAAGTGTCTAATAATACTTCATATATAAACTTTATTTTTATGTCTAGCATAAAGAATTCCTCTGCTACTCCACATACTGTAATGCTTATCCACGTGCACTTATTGAACTCGAATCTTACGAACGCAGTAAAGACGCACGCACCATTTTAGAGAAGTACAGTATGTCAATAAAGTGTTTTTACTAACAAAAAAAAACTAATTTTTTGGGTTTAGTTGAAAATAAATGTACCTAAAAGTGAGAATTTTTTTTCAATTATAATTTATTTCGATTCTATATTTCTCCTAGAACTTAATGGCAAAAAGAATTGTTAAATAACATTACCCAAACATTTTATAAAATTAAAAAACTAAAAACATTCACATTTTATGCTGTCAATAAAGTGTTTTTACAGCTACGGTAAATTGTTTTGCCGTTCTCTTTTGGGTGATCCCGTTAGATTTGGGCCCATGCGTTTTGGCTTCTCTTGTGTCTTCGACTTTTCTTGTCATTTTCTATTGCAATTTATAACGTTTTGCTTTAATTTTATGAAAAATAAAATGCCAGGAAAAAGAACAACTTTTGAAGTCGCTCAGCTGGTGTATTATAACCATCAGATGGGACGTCAAGTCTCGGAACTGGCTGATATGTTTAATTTATCAAAAGCAACGATATACAACATATTAAACAGAGCCAATAAGGAAGATAGGCTAGAGGCAAAGCCAGTATGTGGTCGACCCTGCAAAATTTCTGACAGAGATAAGCGAAAAATTCTGAGAAAAATTGAGAAAAATCCACAAATTTCGCTTAGGGATATTGCTCAGGAGTTCAAGGAAGAAAGTGGTGTTGATGTGTTACATGAAACTGTCCGAAAATTACTGAATTCCAATGACTACACATCACGAGTTGCCAGGAAAAAACCTCTACTATCGGCGGCGAATATTTTGAAGCGGCTATCGTTCGCTCAAGTCCATGTAAATAGTTCGAACGATTTTTGGAGTAACGTCATATTCTGTGACGAAAGCAAGATGATGCTATTCTACAACGATGGGCCATCCAGAGTCTGGAGAAAGCCACTAACAGCGTTGGAAAACCGCAATATTATTCCAACCGTTAAATTCGGAAAACTATCAGTGATGGTGTGGGGGTGTATTTCGAGCAAGGGTGTAGGAGATTTGACCTTCATTGAGAATACCATGGATGCTAGACAATATCTGAGCATTTTACAGACACATCTCGTCAGTAGTGCACAGAAATTTGGATTCTATGAGGACAATAAGCCAATTTTTAAATTTTACCAGGACAATGACCCGAAGCATAAAGCTCATATGGTAAGAGTTTGGCTGTTGTACAACTGTGGAAAGGTGTTAGACACTCCACCACAAAGTCCAGATATGAATCCAATAGAAAATGTGTGGTCATATTTGAAAAAAAAAGTCGCAAAGCGGAGTCCAAAATCAAAAACTGATTTAAAAGCTGCTGTACTGGAAGAATGGCAGAAGATTCCAGAAACATACATACAAAACCTTATTGTTTCAATGAAACGGCGATTGCAGGCTGTATGTGACGCTAATGGCAGCCACACAAAGTATTAAAAAAAAATATTCCTGTTTTTTTAACATTGTTATTTAGTAATAAAGTTTCGTGTAAAAACACTTTATTGACAGCATAAAATTTGAATGTTTTTAGTTTTTTAATTTTATAAAATGTTTGGGTAATGTTATTTAACAATTCTTTTTGCCATTAAGTTCTAGGAAAAATATAGAATCGAAATAAATTAGAATTGAAAAAAAATTCTCACTTTTAGGTACATTTATTTTCAACTAAACCCAAAAAATTAGTTTTTTTTTGTTAGTAAAAACACTTTATTGACATACTGTATGTTTTTTTAGTTCTTGTTTCTTAGACACTTCAACTCTTATTAATTTTAAAACTATTTCTTAAAAGCTGCCGTGAATCCGAGAACTTAGCCGAACTACCCCTATCTGCGCATCTCCTGGCGCCAGTGCAACGCATTTGCCGTTATCCACTGCATCTTAACGAACTTATTAAGACTGCTTTTAGCAGTAACATTGCTGACGATGCAAATGAGGTTGTTGTCCAAACGGATATCTTAGACTATGAACAAATCAATCTATCTCAGCATGATGTGCCTGATACTCGTAACACCGTTAATTTGGCGCTGAAAAAGATGCGCGGTATCACAGAGGCTGTAAATGAAGGAAAACGTCACAGTGAGACCATTGCACGGCATCAGTCAAGCTTTCAAAATTTTAGAGGACCACCGCTACACCTGCACAGTACACGGTTTTTCATTCAAGTAGACGCAACGCGCCAAAAGCAGAACCTCTGGAATAGCAGCTGTACACTGTTCCTTTTCGATAACCAACTGATTTACTGCAAACGAGATATTATCAAGCGCAGCCAGTTCATCTACAAGGGACGAATCTTTTTGGATCGTTGTCGCATTGTTAACGTGCGGGATGGAAAACTGTTTGGTCATACAATTAAAAACTCACTTCGGATCTACTGCGAATCGCGGGGCAAGTGGTACGACTTTAGCTTCCGCTCGGCTAACCGTAAGCATCGCTTTCTTAATACGCTTGCTCTGGAGCGACAGTTTGTGGGCAACGCACTATGCGTGTCCGAGATGACTGGGTTTGAGTACAACTATGGGGAACGGCCGGGTTACTATTCTGACCAATCGGAATACGAGTTGCCAGAATGCGAGCTTGTACAGGGCAACACATCGGCAAGTGGCGACAGTTCAGTACCCGAATCACCGTCCAAGTCATCATACCGATCTTGCGATACCTTGCCCAAAAAATCACGGTCGCGCGACGCTATAGTCAGTACTAGTAATGGCTCCGGTCATATGTCAACTGGCTCGCTGGGCCGTCGCCGTTTAGGAAACTGGTTCCGGAAGCCAAAGAGTTCCAACTGTACGCCTAGCCAGTCACCTACGCACAAACCGAACTTCAATGCGGATTTAACGTTAACGGCCGCACGTGTTGCTGCAATTGAAATGGTTAGAGCCGCCCAACAAGAGGCAGAAAGTTCGTTTGCTTAGTTATCCTCTTATTTATAATTTTAAAGAAAACAAATCGCAACACTCAATAATTGAAAGCAACCTATTTGCTCTTATTATGATAAAAGAATGTTAATAAATATACTGACACAGAAGCATATATTTTAACAGTCAACTATTTTATGCTCCTGTTTTATTTAATTGATTCAAATTGCCTGAAATCCATTTTTTTTTATCCTGAATTAATGTTTGGAATCAATACGTCAGTTATCTGTATAAAATTACAAAATAATTTTTTTTAACTGCATTCTGTTTTTATTAAACGAATCAAGCTTAATTTGTTTATCTGTGTAATATTGATACACTTGTTAAACATTTTATTAATATTTAGCCTAGCTAAAAACATGTGCCGAAAATGAAGAACACAGCTACAAAAAACCCTCTCCATACTAACAAAATAATAACCACATGTATATTATCAGAATAAAAAGTACATGTTAAATAGTCACAGGTTATTTAAAATTGTTCAAAAATTAGTTAAAATGTAGTCATATTATTAAAAAAATGAATTGTTACTTTCAATTTATATTCAAAAAAATATAATAAAAAGAGAACTGTTAAAATGAAAATTGTGCAAACCAAAAAATATTTCAAAACCTATGAGCGAATTTAATTTTCATAAGAAAAACGTATATACCAAAATAAGTTCAAATATAAGATTATGATGAGTTCAACGTTTTAAAAGCAATTAACTATTAAATAAATTTTGTATAAACAAACAAATATAATTCTTAACAATGTTAATTCTGGACCATCCCATCAAGTGTATTTGGCCAACAGACATTTAAGCGATGTTTTTTTAATACATGCTTGAATTAACTTAAAAAAATCGATGCATTTATATGGAAATATCGGGGATTGCATTAAAGTTAAAAAATAAAGTAATAATTCAACCTTTTTTCCTTTATTTTGACAGAGCACTTGTATGTACGGTATCTGTACATCCGGATGGAAACAAGTGGGTGAAAGGAATATGAGTGAACACAAAAGAGGAATTAGTTCCCACTTGACCACGGTGCAGCAACATATTCTAAGCATACACGCCCCACATCCATATGTAGGCAGCCAAGCTTTGTCCCGATTTATTTAGGATAGATGTTTACAAATTCCAGTTAACAAAACGTGAAGCTTAATATAATTACAATATTTTGGTCAATAGTACTGAACCTTACGAGTCCAAAATGGTATAAAATTTGAAAATCGGACATTATTTGGCCGCGATATTCAAAAAAATCATATGGAAAGGTTGACATTACAAACGAATCATTTTTGGATTTAGATTTTGACCCAAATCGGCCAAAATGGGAAGGGGTTACATCACGTTTTTTATCAAAATCGGGGTCGGTTCGAAAATCAAACCTTTTTTGATGATTTTTTTTTAGTTTCTCGGGCAAATAAAGTCTGATTTTCAAATATTATACCTTTTTGAATTTGTACGAATCCCTATTGTCAGTTAGATTTCAAACAAATTAAAAATCGATGGGTTACAAAAAGATGTGGACCCGAAAATGATTCGTTTGTAAAGTCAACCTTTTCTTATGATTTTTTTGAATATCTCGGCCAAAAATGTCAGATTTTCAAATTTTATACCATTTTGGACTCGTTAGGATCAGTACTATCCACTGGCAGTTTTATTTATTTTATACCATTTTGGACTCGTAAGGATCAGTACTATCGACTGGCATCAACAAATATAAAATCTAAATTTTGACCCAAATCGACCAAAATGACAAGGGGTTACATCACGTTTTTTATCAAAATCGGGGTCGGTTCGAAAATCAAACCTTTGGGTTGATTTTACCAACGAATCATTTTCGGCTCCACATCTTTTTGTAATCCATCAATTTTTAATTTGTTTGAATGCCAATTGACAGTAACGATTCGTACAAATTCAAAAAGGTATAATATTTGAAAATCAGACTTTATTTGCCCGAGAAACTCAAAAAAAATCATCAAAAAGGTTTGATTTTCAAACCGCCCCGATTTTGATAAAAAACCGTGATGTAACCCCTTGCCATTTTGGCCGATTTGGGTCAAAATTTAGATTTTCTATTTTTTGCTGCCAGTGGATAGTACTGATCCTTACGAGTCCAAAATGGCATACAATTTGAAAATCTGACATTTGGCCGAGATATTCAAAAAAATCATAAGGAATGGTGGACTTTACAAACGAATCAATTTCGGGTCCACATCTTTTTGTAACCCATCGATTTTTAAATTGTTTAAATGCCAAGTGAAAGTAGAGATTCGTACAAATTCAAAAAGGTATAATATTTGAAAAGTAGACTTTATTTGCCCGAGAAACTCAAAAAAATCATCGAAAAAGGTTTGATTTTCGAACCGACCCCGATTTTGATAAAAAACGTGATGTAACCACTTGCCATTTTGGCCGATTTGGGTCAAAATTTAGATATTCTATTTGTTGATGCCAGTCGATAGTACTGATCCTTACGAGTCCAACATGGTATAAAATTTGAAAATCGGACATTATTTGGCCGAGATATTCAAAAAAATCATAAGGAAAGGTTGACTTTGCCAACGAATCATTTTCGGGTCCACATCTTTTTGTAATCCATCAAATTTTAATTTGTTTGAATGCCAATTGACAGTAAAGATTCGTACAAATTCAAAAAGGTATAATATTTGAAAATCAAACTTTATTTTCCCGAGAAACTCAAAAAAAATCATCAAAAAAGTTTGATATTCAAACCGCCCCGATTTTGATAAAAAACGTGATGTAACCCCTTGCCATTTTGGCCGATTTGGGTCAAAATTTAGATTTTCTATTTTTGCTGCCAGTGGATAGTACTGATCCTTACGAGTCCAAAATGGTATAAAATTTGAAAATCTAACATTATTTGGCCGAGATGATAAAAAAAATCATAAAGAAAGGTTGACTTTACAAACGAATCAATTTCGGGTCCACATCTTTTTGTAGTCCTTCGATTTTTAATTTGTTTAAATTCCAAGTGAAAGCAGAGATTCGTACAAATTCAAAAAGGTATAATATTTGAAAAGCAGACTTTATTTGCCCGAGAAACTCAAAAAAAATCATCAAAAAAGGTTTGATTTTCGAACCGACCCCGATTTTGACAAAAAACGTGATGTAACCCCTCGCCATTTTGGCCGATTTGGGTCAAAATTTAGATTTTCTATTTTTTGATGCCAGTCGATAGTACTGATCCTTACGAGTCCAAAATGGTATAAAATTTGAAAATCTGACATTATTTAGCCGAGATATTCAAAAAAATCATAAGGAAAGGTTGACTCTACAAACGAATCATTTTCGGGTCCACATCTTTTTGTAACCCATCGATTTTTAATTTGTTTGAATGCCAATTGATAATAGGGATTCGTACAATCTCAAAAAGGTATAATATTTGAAAATCAGACTTTATTTGCCCGAGAAACTCAAAAAAAAATCATCAAAAAAGGTTTGATTTTCGAACCGACCCCGATTTTGATAAAAAACGTGATGTAACCCCTTGCCATTTTGGCCGATTTGGGACAAAATTTAGATTTTCTATTTTTTGATGCCAGTGGATAGTAATGATCCTTACGAGTCCAAAATGGTATAAAATTTGAAAATCTGACATTATTTGGCCGAGATATTCAAAAAAATCATAAGGAAAGATTGACTCTACAAACGAATCATTTTCGGGTCCACATCTTTTTGTAACCCATCGATTTTTAATTTGTTTGAATGCCAATTGATAATAGGGATGCGTACAATCTCAAAAAGGTATAATATTTGAAAATCAGACTTTATTTGCCCGAGAAACTCAAAAAAAATCATCAAAAAAGGTTTGATTTTCGAACCGACCCCGATTTTGACAAAAAACGCGATGTAACCCCTTGCCATTTTGGCCGATTTGGGTCAAAATTTAGATTTTCTATTTTTTGATGCCAGTGGATAGTACTGATCCTTACGAGTCCAAAATGGTATAAAATTTGAAAATCTGACATTATTTGGCCGAGATATTCAAAAAATCATAAGGAAAGGTTGACTTTACAAACGAATCATTTTCGGGTCCACATCTTTTTGTAACCCATCGATTTTTAATTTGTTTGAATGCCAATTGATAATAGGGATTCGTACAATCTCAAAAAGGTATAATATTTGAAAATCAGACTTTATTTGCCCGAGAAACTAAAAAAAATCATCAAAAAAGGTTTGATTTTCGAACCGACCCCGATTTTGATAAAAAACGTGATGTAACCCCTTGACATTTTGGCCGATTTGGGTCAAAATTAAGATTTTCTATTTTTTGATGCCAGTGGATTGTAATGATCCTTACGAGCCCAAATGGTATAAAATTTGAAAATCTGACATTATTTGGCCGAGATATTCAAAAAATCATAAGGAAAGGTTGACTTTACAAACGAATCATTTTCGGGTCCACATCTTTTTGTAACCCATCGATTTTTAATTTGTTTGAATGCCAATTGATAATAGGGATTCGTACAATCTCAAAAAGGTATAATATTTGAAAATCAGACTTTATTTGCCCGAGAAACTAAAGAAAATCATCAAAAAAGGTTTGATTTTCGAACCGACCCCGATTTTGATAAAAAACGTGTTGTAACCCCTTGACATTTTGGCCGATTTGGGTCAAAATTAAGATGTTCTATTTTTTGATGCCAGTGGATAGTACTGATCCTTACGAGTCCAAAATGGTATAAAATTTGAAAATCTGACATTATTTGGCCGAGATATTCAAAAAATCATAAGGAAAGGTTGACTTTACAAACGAATCATTTTCGGGTCCACATCTTTTTGTAACCCATCGATTTTTAATTTGTTTGAATGCCAATTGATAATAGGGATTCGTACAATCTCAAAAAGGTATAATATTTGAAAATCAGACTTTATTTGCCCGAGAAACTCAAAAAAAATCATCAAAAAGGTTTGATTTTCAAACCGCCCCGATTTTGATAAAAAACCGTGATGTAACCCCTTGCCATTTTGGCCGATTTGGGTCAAAATTTAGATTTTCTATTTTTTGCTGCCAGTGGATAGTACTGATCCTTACGAGTCCAAAATGGCATACAATTTGAAAATCTGACATTTCGCCGAGATATTCAAAAAATCATAAGGAAAGGTTGACTTTACAAACG